TGTGCAGACTGCACAGGCAGTACTCGTGTTCTAACTCACATAATCTAATTGTGACTGACAGTGCTCAGGTTTGAATACCTGGCTGTATTTATGATTCTTGAAGATCAATCATAACTGCTGGTATCCAGCTATGATTGTCTGGGTCCATACCTACATATATCTAGGTATTGTTATATAGCTGCCAGTATCTACAATTTAATTCATCGGTGTAGGTTTGTTTATTTGTTTGTTTGTTTGTTTGTTTAACGCCACACTCAACAATTTTCCGGCTACCTGTAAATAATCGAATCTGGACCAGACAATCCAGTGACTGGCAAAATGAGCACCGATCTACACCATCTGGGATACGATGACATGCAGTTTCCAAATCAGCGAGCCTGACCACCCGATCTCGTCGTCGCCTCTTACGACAAGCATCGGTTGCTGAAGGCAAATTTTAACTCGGACCTGCACGGGAAGGTGTAGATTTGACCCTCGACTTATCAGATAGAGAAAGGTCGGTTGTTTGGTTACCGTATCATATGGTACAATCTCCTGGTATGTCTGTCCAGGTATACATTTTTTTTTCTAGAGAAGGCTCTCTGTTGTATGTCTGTCCAGCTATACATTCTTTCCCAGAGACGGCCCGGGGGCGGTGGGGTAGCCTAGTGGTAAAAGCGTTGGCTCGTCACGCCGAAGACCCGGGTTCGATTCCCCACATGGGCACAATGTGTTAAGCCCATTTCTGGTGTCCCCCGCCGTAATATTGGTGGAATATTGCTAAAAGCGGCGTAAAACCAAACTCAGTCAGTCAGTCAGAGACGGCCCGCCTGTGTGGTCTAGTGGATAGAGTGTACGCCTGGAGAGCGGAGGGCCAGTGGTTCGATTCCCTGCCGCATCATACCGAAAGACGATAAATGGTGGAACCACTGTTACCCTGACTGGCCTGAAGGTATCAGTAGGACAGTCCATGTCTGAGTGCAGCGTGTTTGGTAAACTGCGACATTCAATCTCAGTGTGGGTGAGTGAGTCGGTTTGACGCCCCTTTTACCCCTGCAGGACAAGTAACCGAGGTGATGACATTGTATAACGGTGAACTGTATGGAGCTGACAAGCTGTGAAACATAACTGGTGCGCACCGGAATTTAAACCGGCAATCATAGGCTTCTGGAGTACCCATGGTCGTACATAACTGCATTGTGGCGGATAGGACGACAGAGCAGCCTGGGATAGAACGCCGGCATTGGAACACCCAGGCACACACACAAACACACACACACACACACGCACGCACTCGCACTCGCACTCGCACACGCACACGCAGGCACACGCGCGCATAGTAAAGCGATAATTCTGAACCCGGTGTCTTTCTTTGTCCAAGTACCACTGTTCAGGCATAAGTGAATGGCTGTCAAAGCACTTCTTTTATGGCTTATGGTCTTTTAAGTCCTGATACTTTTACCGTATTGTTAGAACGATTGTCCAAGCAAGTGTTATAAACTGTGACGGCTGTCGTATCCATTCCCACCTTCATACTCGTAACTCTGTAGGTGTAGGTATGTTTTGGTCATTTAAGTGGTTTAACATCCAATATTATACATTTATTCAAATCGCATCTCTTTTACACTGAAAAAGAAGCCAACGAGAAGACACCGCCATTCCCCACATCAATCAAGCTATCTTCTCTTCCCAATTGTACAGTAACAACCAATTGGAATGGTTGGCGTTTTGCAATTTGGTCTCACAGCTGTCATATTTCACTGTGCATTTAAAACGTATCCTGACAGCCACGTAGAAAATTAGATTGTCATTTAGGGAGCATTTCTTAATGACTCTTAAGGGGATCATAAAAGCAGCTGACAGTCGTATATAAATAAAGTAGGTCACGCCGCGAACGTTCACATCGCGATCTTCCCATAATACAATGGAAGCGAAACGCTCTCAGTTCAGAAAAAGCAGATGCATTTCAAGTATAATTATCAGACTGAAATCCTTTGATGTCATCTTCTATTGCAGCCCAGCCTCCAAAACATTGCGTAAAACTATGTCACGATGTCCCTCTCTGGCAGCTCACACACATGCACTCACGCTCCTTCATTCCTGCTCACTCATTCACTCACTCACTCACTCACTCTCCCACTCACTCATGCTGTGCATGATTTACAACAATCGTGGGGGATCTTTCCTATCTATGGGCGTGACATAGTATAACAGATTCCGCTGTGAAGAGTATGCGGCAGCTGTAGAAGACCAAATACCCTGATGAGTTTTATGAGTTAAACCAACCGTCTCGGAGGATTGGAATATGTCAGCAGAAGTTGGAAGGAAGCAGTTGCGCGAGAAATAGTACAAGAAATATCCCATTAGCTTCCATAACGTGGAGTTCCTTCAGTAATTCACAAAAAAACTAATCTTTTAAAAGCAGAGAATGGATTATTGATGGTGCAGCCATGATAAATTAGGTCGATTAATCTAGAAAAATAATTACAGGAGCTTATAACCTCATTACCATGTCGAGAATCTGCTTAATGCAATTATCTATACACGGGGAGGTAAAGGGGCAACGGGCAATCAAGAGACATCACAGTCAAACATAATACAACTCAATAACGCCGCTCTTTCTCCACTGTGCTAAAAGATGTTCCCGGTTTGAAGCATTGAATTCATAGTGGACATGATAGAAGATGGCTTGGCTCTATAGACTTAGAAGGAACTAGGAACATTGATGTTCTCTCTAATAAACATGATCACGTGTGTCATCTATAACATACATGGTCATGTGTGTTACGGCCACCTTCTCTAACGTATTGGGTGTTCTGTGTCAGCTCAAGTATACGGGGTCACGGCTCTGTTGCACTGTTTGTAATACAAGACGATTGTTGATTAGACGTTCACTGAAAGCAGCTTTGCAAAACTCCCATTCCTTGAATCATTAAGTGAATGTTCCGTAACGAATCATGCCATAGAAATGTTTACTAACGCGATATGATATTGATTCGCGAATAAAATTAATCTATTTAATGATCTTGTTTGGGCAACGTTGAAATAAAATTTGATAAAATTGTGTCTTCCTTTCGTCTGATTCGGTTTGATATGCTCTGATAGATATCGGTTTGTATGCTGCACAGCGATGTGACCCCAGAAGTGATACAGTAGTGCGCTGCACTCTTGCAGAATGTCACGACTCGGGTGCCAAGAATGCTCTTAAGTGATTGGTTTTCGGAGTAGACATAGAACCATAGTCATAGAAATAAGACGACCAATCAATCCGTCCTGCAACACATGTTCTAAATGATGAGCATTACCCAGGATCCGTCACAAATCCTTCAACTGTGGGCAATATCGCTGCTACACTAATGCACTTGGCGACTCCGATAATAAGCTTATCTCAGACCTTAAGGAAAGATAACCTATTCATTTTCCATATTGATCTGATAAATATTTGAATTAGATGAAGCAGCCTTATTTAATCATTAGGCGCCAGATGGTAGATTAACATGGTTGGAACTTTGAACGGTTGGTATCGCCATTTGCTACCACGCTCCAGATAGGCGTCATTGGCTGGGTCAGACACCTCCTCTGTGTGAGGTCACTCAGACCCCGGAGACACAACATGGATGGTAATGTACGGGTGTGTGAACACGGGCTTCGTAAAGTCAAGGTTAACGCTTTAAGCTACCAACCCACTGAGGCTACGATAAACCACCAACATGACTTCTGGATTTCTGTAAGCTGTCTGAAGGAAACCCTCTGTAGTTCACCCGGTCAGGAGCTTGGTCTTCAGGGTCATATTAGGAACACACACAAATAGGGTGATGGAGAGTTGCTGTTTGGATCTTTAACAATCAGTTATGTCTTTTAGATAGTGACGATGAAATACTACTACACAGAGTCGTGTTATGCCACCCTAGCAGGCTGAGATGGAGTGTTAGCTCGTCAAGACTCGGATTGACCTCCCCGTATGTGTAGCCTATGTCCTTCACTGCGTCAAGTCAATTCCTAATTCACTAGGCATTTCTAAAATGTTCCACTGGCAATATGCAGTAAAATAGTTTAACAAGAAAAGTGTTTAACATCATCAAGCGACAGTTGCCGTGTTGCGGTCTGCTTTCAGAGGCTGCTACCTACCTATATAGAGAGCGGGTAAAGAGAATAAGGACCTCAGAACCTTTAAACTGTCCGTTACAGAGCGGGTAAAGAGAGTAAGGACCTCAGAACCTTTAAACTGCCCGTTACAGAGCGGGTAAAGAGAGTAAGGACCTCAGAACCTTTAAACTGCCCGTTACAGAGCGGGTAAAGAGAGTAAGGACCTCAGAACCTTTAAACTGCCCGTTACAGAGCGGGTAAAGGGCGAGGACCTCAGAACCTTTAAACTGTCCGTTACAGAGCGGGTAAAGACAGTAAGGACCTCAGAACCTTTAAACTATTCGTAACAGAGGGGTTCAACACATTGAGGATACCAGAACCTTTGAACAGCCCGTTACAGAGAACATAAATACTCTTCGGACACGGGTCCTATATCTGCCCGTAACAGAGAGCTTACAATCCCTTAGAATATGTCGGTAAGCATCGTGGAGACATCTTAAACATATTCACGATCATATTTGCACAAACTTCAGCTTAAAGGCATGTTGACAAGTGCTTGAGTGAAGGAACATATTTTGAACACCCATCTTGTGACACGTACATTGAATACGACTAGTGCCAGCAATTATATAATCGATGGCTGTTGCTGTCATGCACCTAACTATCACCTTCTGTGGGCTGTTGTCTGCAGTGTAACCTGATACGGAGAAAGTCCTAACTATCTATACGTACATGTTGTTTTGATACTTACCATCGCTATAAAAGTGGCATTACTTATACACCAGCCATTTGACATTTCAACACCCACATTTAGTGTAGCAGGATACGATCTGCCGCCCACCTGACGTTACCTGCCTCTTATTGTTGACGATGATCTCAGGTGTACTGGCAATCACCTGTCGTACATGTGTAAAACTTTAGGTAACTCGCCTTACCTTGCTAAATGTGTGTAGCTTGTTTCCACGATCGAAAAACCCCACCTCAAGAGGAGTCAAGTCTGTTTCATTGGGGATATGTACATGAATCCGACAATGAACAACGCTGCCATGTTACACAAGCGTCAGGTGAACATACAGTTTTATGTCAACAGGTACAGAGTTAGGTATGCTATGCATCATATCCAGTCAACATAATTTATCGATTGAGCTCACAGAGCGTGATATGAATAGTTCTATGGTCGGGTTGAGCTTAATTTAATAATAATAAAAATCGAATTCGATATTTGAATATACCACAGAGCGTGATACTTGAAAATTATGTGAAGAATTCCATTAATCACTTTTTATTGCATTTCTGTCTAATGTAGGTATTTAATCGTGGTTATTAATGCGTACAAATGTAAATGCATTGGATAAATTATGTTTATCATTTGAGCTTTTGATATAGAGAAATATGGTATATATCAATCCGTCGAGCCATATAGTAGAGATATAGGATATGTATATAGCTGCTGCATCACGAGTACTTTTACGTTGTCGAATCTGGACCAGAAATACCAAGGGTTAATAGCATGAACACCTCATCCTGATTTCATTCCGCCGTTTGACTCCTCCTCTACCAGTATCTAACTGTAGAGTGAAGGAAGGTAAAGCGGGGATGGTTTCAAGGGGTAAGATTTGTAACGATGGCCATTACTGACTATATACTAGCCGCACAACCTGTCGAACTGGACACTCCTAAACATCATGTTGTATTCAATCACTGAATGTACTGTTCCGATAGATCATGCAGTAGGTAATGGTAGGTAGACTGTTGTCAAGACCTGATTGTCTACCCGCTGGGCAAGACTCGACGCATGACAAGCACTGCTGCAGCAAACATTTATAATTCTATGTAAATTGTTTGAGTTGCGGATGATACCGGTGGAGTAAAATATGCTATTTTTTTCGCGAACATCTGTTATCATCACTAATTTTCGGTGATCTATTTTGCAATCGTAGACGCTATTTTGCCTTATACACCCAACGGAATCTGACACATAAAATTCCGCTGCTGATGTTATATATATAAATGAGGAGACATTATCTAGTATACCATTCAGATAATATGGTACCAAATGGAGACCATTCCATTTTCATAGTCACTAGTTCCAGTTTGCTAGCCGAGATGACATGGGATTTCACCAAAGTTATTGCGCCTTTCCCAATAGCTTAACATATACTTAAAAGGCGGCCAATAACACGTGTTGGTCATTGCTTGCAAACTGTAGCTACATTAAGTGTCGGGCAGCAGGTTGCAGTAAGGTGTACACGATTCCAAACATTTTAAATGCATATTCATTTCATATCAGATGTGATAACTAGCGCTTGCCTTGCAACAGGAATCCACTTCCGGTGACAATCAGGAAAGCTGCCCTTGTCTGCCCGGAAATCAAGTATTGATCCGAATTTTAGAATGAGGAAATCAAGAATGAGATCTGGCCAATTTTCACCAACGGTTTCAGTCCCAAAACGACGCTACACCGTCTTGGCCGTAATTGTAACAAATATACCTCCATGTGACGAGAGTCAAGGGCACCATATCCCACATCGACTTGGTCGTAATTGGTCCAGCAATACTTAAATCAGATGAGAGTGGACCTTCCGTTCTACCAGATTCAATATTCTCAGTATCACCGAGAGAGCACAAACGTCACCCATACACCATGAGAACGGGTATTTAAATCAGGGACTAACATCTCGCAAGTTGAAATCATAAAACACTTCAAATCAATCGGTAGCATGATATTCACTCCATTCTTGTTTGCATGTGTGGGGTTTTTGGTCAGTGTGCAAGCTTGCTAATGTCTGCTCGAAGTTGAAACACAACATAGTGTATGTGTTATTTTGTGAGGATGGGCATCTGGACAATGGCCTAGATTCTGAATGGTCTTCATTGTACCAATATACTTGGCAGGAAATTATATAGTTTCTTCTGTTTACCCAGAAATCGAAATTCGAAACAAACAAGAACATGTTTGGAATGATGAGGTGTTGAGGTGTTAATGTTATTCTGGTATTGGTGTCTGGATTTGGAGTAGAAATCTGATCAGTAAATTTTATTAGTGAAATATTGGTCATTTAACTTTCCACAGTGTGTAGCAGTTCCACATTTTGGTAGCAACGCCTGACATTAGATATGTCCTATTGACCAAGAAATCTTATTACGCCAATCATTCATATCAATGTTATTGTTTATACGCTACCAATGCACTAGCACATAATGCGTTGTAGCAGTTGGTGTCGATGTAGGTGGAGTGGCCGTAGGTAAAAGTGTAGATGTAGTTGTGGGTTCTTCCCGCAGTTGTTATTGAGCAACAATATCAAGACGCAAAAGAACGTGTAGGCGAGCGTGAAGCGAAGGTGTAGATGTAGGTGTGTGTGACGGTGTAGAAGGTGTAGGTGTGCGTGAAGCGAAGGTGTGGATATAGGTGTGTGTGTGTGTGTGTGTGTGTGAAGGTGTAGAAGGTGTAGGCGAAGGTGTGCGTGCAGGTGAAGGTGTAGATATAGGTGTGTGAGGGTGTAGCGAAGGTGTGCGTGCAGGTGAAGGTGTAGATATAAGTGTATGTGAAGGTGTAGAAGGTGTAGGAGAAGGTGTGCGTGCAGGTGAAGGTGTAAATATAGGTGTGTGCGTGAATGTGTAGGCGAAGGTGTGCGTGCAGGTGAATGTGTAGATATAGGTGTGTGTGTGAAGGTGTAGATGAAGGTGAGCGTGAAGCGAAGGTGTAGATATAGGTGTATGTGAAGATGTGGAAGGTGTAGGTGAAGGTGTATTTGTTGGTGTATGATTTATATCTAGCCTGTTATTCATACCTGTGTTATTACCTGTTAAATGCTGAAGTGTGTATCCTGCCAAGTGGAATATGCTAGGAATCTCAGCAGTGTTTATTGACCCGGCGCCGAAATCATTGAGCAACATTATTTCTACATCTCAGCAGACTACAAATAGTCTAATATGTTCATAAAGTCTCGGACCATCAGTGAACCACTCTACCATCTGGCTAGTTCGTGTAAACAGGGGAATTCGAAAATATGTCTGTTGTGATCAATGTTTTGTTTCCAGATTACCGTACAACCCTGTTTATCTGTTCATCGTATAAACATTGTGTACTTGAATAAACACCAGGGGATACTTACCGCTCAGCGGTAACTAATGACCCTAGCATCTCTCCGTGGAGGGGTCTGAGATTGGACGATATCCGTGCCGTTAACTAGGAAGTGAAGTTTATAGTTAAAACACCAAACAGACCACTGATATATGTAACATGTGACTGTGGACCCGTTTGGCACAACGATCTGGGGCCGTCGTCAGTTTTTATTTGAGTCTGAAATAGACTTGTTTACTACAGCTTGGTGGACTGAATGAGTGTGTGAGTGAGTATGGCTTATGTCATGTTAACTATGTCCACACAATACCAGAAACGGGCTAAACACTTTGTATGAGAGATAGAATCAAACCAGTGTCATTGGTGTGTAAGTCGAACACTTAACCTACAAGGCTACCTACCAGCACGTACTACAACTGGCATGTAATACAACTCTAAGATAACTAACAGGTAGTGCCGTATAGAATATCATTCACGTATTCATTGCAGCACCACCTCTGATACTGTTATCTAAACATCAACCTCACGCAGACAACGGACACATGCGAGACATCCGGGTTCCATCAGCCGATGGTGGCACAGGCAATAGCTGTATAGTCTTCAACTACATACATGACAGAAATAGCGGCCTAACCGCTCTCTGTATGTCAATCAATTTGTAGGCGACGACTTCAATGTAGTTGACGTCATGTTGTAAAGGCCGTTACTGCTGTAACCATGTCTGCAGGCAATGGACAAAGATGCGCTGGACGCGATGTTACCTTGGGATACAGCGTCCGTCGGGATAAAGGATCTGATCACACGACCGTCAGAACTCGGGAACATCCGACTTGTTTTCAGTTGGGGCTTACATGGCTATGAACAGTTTCAATGATAATGGCAGGAGTACCACTACGAAACATATCAGTGTGTGAAGGTGTTGACTACAGTCAAGCAATGCCTATGTAAATACATCGATCTGCTTCTTTCTGACTTAAAAGCCTAATGGCTATTTACTTGAGAAGAGTATTGTTTGTATTGGAGATAGTGAAAGCCTGACACGCAGCCGGTGTTTGACTCCCCACCTTAATAACTCTAAAGACTATATTACAACGATAAACATACATACATATTTAAACACCTCGAATGATAAACGTGAAGGTATGTTTAATCATTCGAAAGGTAAAACTGGTTCTCCATTGTCATCAAATCTGAGGATAAACATATACCCAAAAGCAGAAGCTGGGTGGACAACTAACCATTACATTTAAGTAATTATAACAATAGGTAAGGCCTAAAGTAGTTCGTATTTTAAAACTTTGTATATGGATACTTCCAGACTTCAGTGTGGTGTATATGTTCTAACAGACGTATTGCCAACATCTCTTGACGGCCACCACTAAGGCAACCACTATTGCGGCTAAGATCACCAAGGTATAAAATCCAACCACCTCTTGACGTCCACTAAGGCAACAACAATTGCAGCTGAGATCACCCAGGTATAAACTTCAAACACCTCCTAACTACCGCCACGAAGGCACGTAATGATTACTATAATAATTCTAATAAACTATGCCTAGTGTCTAATAATTCAGATACCCGAAGACGTTGTCCACACATGATGACTGCTTTCTAGCGTTGCTATCACTTGACAAGTAGATTGTAGAATGTACATACACATAATCCAGTTCGTAGACAAGTGACCTGTGGCATTTATCCAAATGACACATTAAAAGGCGTGATTGATTACCAGGTGTTTCAAGTGAGGTCGAACCACCGTTCACAGGTGCTACACATACAATCATGTCTCCTTCACCCACTGTGTATTGTCATCTAGTATCACTGCTTTACACACTAATGGCCTTTTTGTAGACAAAGCAGTCTTTTCATCCAACGTCCAGATGTTTCCAACTGTGACAATGATGACGTTCTCACATATTCCCGAGTTTCCATCTCTAAATGACCATTGTTAATGTCGATATTAGAACAACGACTCTGCTGATGGATGAT